ATTTCTTTGTTGCTTTGTATGTCCCTCCCCCACGGTATAACCCCTGTTTTCACTGTATTTGATGTTGGTATAATTTGTGGAGGGGAAGGGAAAAAACACCAATTGTTTAAAAAGGGATACAGGCAGACCCATTGCAACAATGAAATGTACAAGACGTTATGTCAAAAAACAAACTTTACAACTTTGGCACGAGGTGGGGAAGGGAGATAGAAAGGGATGGGAAAGGGAAACAAAGGATGAGGCAACAATGCTCGATAAGAAATGTACTTATTACCTTGCTCATGTAATTGTAACCCGTCTGTATGGTATTTTCACAATAAAAATAAAGAGAGAAAGAAAGGAGGAAAGAGAAAGAAAGAAGGAAGGAAAAAAGAAAGAAAGAAAGTGGTTTCTGTAGCCACATGACCCAGGTTCAAGATTTTGCTCTGACCCTATTGACAGTAGACATATTTCTTAACATCTTTCAGTTGTATTGTATTTACCTTAAAGTGCCATGATGAGATTTGAAGGATATGTGTGCGTGTGTGTGTGTGTTGTGTGTGTGTGTGTGTGTGTGTTGTGTGTGACATGTTTAAACTTCTGGTAGGCATCATGCAATTATTGGGTTTTTGTTGTGGTGGTTTATTAAATAAAATGGCCATATGGCTAAGGATCAAACCCTTCAATTGGGAGACCTTAAATATGCAGCTCTGAGCTGATAAGTTTGTAGATATAGCCTTTCAGATGTGTAGAGTCTTTAGGAAAAGTCAGATAGCTTCATCTACACAACAAAAATTGTTCAGCTTCATGCAGCTGAACAATTCAGTGAAATCACAGAGTCTGAATTATCAATAACTGAGTCACTCAGCTTGTGGTTATGTGGTTTTGAACCAGGAATACTTTTAAATATGTCCTCTATTTGCACCTGTTTATTTGTATTTCAAAGGACAGATATATGCTCAACTCATATGGGCTTTTGTGAAAAAAGAAAAGATTTTCTGGAGATGCTTCACTGATGTCTGATTTAATACTTTCTCTGTAAATTCAGGCTGATTATTGATTAGTAGTTTAATGCATAACTTATGCAGCCACACAAGGAACTCTGCGTAACCATCAAGACCATTCTCGCATCTACTTTCCTTACTTTGGTTTCATAAAGTCATCAAGCTGACTTACTTTGACCACACTTGGCTCTGAATTCAGGGCCTCACCCTGGCTGAGGTTGCTTGCTCAGCTGATAATCTACCACTTGAACCACTGACTACTCCAATCCTACTTTTTTTGCTGGCTGATTAAAGATGGAATCTCATAGACTTTTTCTGCCAGAGCTGACCTCAGCCCTCAATCTTCTAGATCTCAACTTCCTAAGTAGATAGCATCATAGATTTGAAACCTGATCTTGCCCAAGATGATTTTTCTAATGTAAATATATCATTGACTGTGATGAGAGTTATGAAAGTCTCTGTGGAGTTAGCCAAATGGAATGACAGTCATGGTTGCATTAGCTACCTCGGTTGCTAGCTAAAGTGAAAATATCCTGTAAGTGCAAAGAAGAAGTCTAAGTGGTGGTGGGTGGCTCCATCTTACTGGTCTGCCATGCAGGAAGGGATAAAATGCATAAACCTATACGGCTTATGACATGTTTCTATTATATATTGCTATACTTTGGTTATAACCCTGTGGATACATTGACAATAACTACACATGTTTACGGGAAGAATGAAGAACTGTGACACTCATTTTTGCCTCCTTCTTCTGTGTTTCTGATTGTAGTTGATACTCCAGACCCATATGTGGAGCTTTTCATCTCCACCACCCCTGATGGCAGGAAGAGAACAAGACACTTCAACAACGACATCAACCCTGTGTGGAATCAGACCTTTGAGTTCATTCTGGACCCTAATCAGGAAAATGTTTTGGAGGTAAGTGGCTCATCTGGGGACTGCTACTTTGTCATGGTTCCTGTGGAGATTGACACCCAAGTTGATCTGCTGTCTGCCCACTTCCCTTACCTTCTTCCCCCAGGTTGGTTGAGTAGGTGGGCAACATGGCCGACTTACTTGTAGATGGTTCACATCCAGCATTGGGAGCATCCAGTGGAAAAGCCACTGCACCGTGGGGCTGGGAAGATTCCTCATGTATCTTGTCAAAAAAAAAACTTATTTGTGCCATAAACATGAGAATCTAAGCCAGGTGCTCCGGGGCTCATACCTGTGATCCTAAGTATTGGGAAGGATAAAAGTCTTGAGGATTGTGGAGTTCAGGAGACTCCATCTTCAATTAGCCGGCAAAGAGATGAACTGTAGTTAAGGCACAAATGTTAGAGTGCCAGACATCATAAACAAGCAAGCCAAGTAAGTATGTTTGTGTAAGTAGAGGTTTTAAGTAAGCTTTCCAAAGACCGCTGGGAAGCTTAACATTTGTGCTGTGCATTTTACTGCAGATCACATTAATGGATGCTAACTACGTCATGGATGAGACTCTAGGGACAGCAATATTTCCCATATCTTCTATGAAAGTGGGGGAGAAGAAAGAAGTTCCATTTATTTTCAACCAAGTAAGTAACACAGTAGAATTATGTTCAACCTGTCTAGTAGGTAAAACAATCTATTTATTTTAGAAAGTTGGGTTTAATATTTGGAAAACTGTGTTTCTTAATAGGATAGTCTGAGTTTCTAAAAAGGAAGTGTACAAGACCTTTCAGCCCAGATTAGACTTGACCTGTGACCACCCCCACCCCTGCCCCTCTTGTAGTTGGAAACCCAAGTACACACTGCTAGGCCCAGCCATTGGTTGACCAATTCTTGTGAAATTTTCTGCATAGGCTGGCTTTGAATTATGATCTTCCAGATCTCAGCTACTTAAGTAGCTAGGATTACAGGACTGATCTTATTGGCACCTGGCTTTGGTTTAATATCCTGTTTTGATCTTTTATTATTCTGAAATGTTTAACTTTTGTTATGGCATTACAATACTGCCGAGACATTGGTAGCAATTTAGATGAATAACTCTGTATTCCATCGGTAGGTCCCTCTGTAAAAAAAAACACATTTGGTACAATAGAAAGAGAGAAAGGTGAAAGGGGAGGGAGAGAGGGTAAAACAGAGGGATAAGAAAAGGAAGAAAGTAGAAAAGAGAAAAACGAGCAAAAAAACTAAAATATAATCAAGAAATCCTATTCATTCTAAAATGGTAAGTTACTGTTTTATCACACATTTGCTATTACCCTTACTATTAGAAATATTAATGTTGTTCTTGTTGTTGCAGTTGCCCTTGTTGTATAAACAATAAACTCTTGGAATTCATTGTGTATATGGTGCTAAAGAAGTATCACTGAGGAAACACTGAGCATGCTCAGGATTTGAGTGCAGTGCTATATCAGTGCTTGATTTGTTTTTCCTGTAATGTTGTACAAATTCTGCTAAAGACATGTACCTTTCAACAAATCTCTGATTATCACATCATCACTTAAACATATTTGGGCATCATTCTGTATATCCTTGGAGGAGATTTTACCAAAATGAAGGGCAGGGAAACCCTGAGCAGTTAACAGAACGATTTAGACACCTGGTCATAACATGGGGCTACAGTGCTTCAGTTGAGCTGGACACTACCTGCCCTGGAATTTTAAGGCTTTTTAAATTTCCTTTGATGTTTTTGACCATGCTTTGTCAAAATATATGGAATACACTCTCATGAATAAGGATTGCATTAGTATTAATTAAACCTCTGGGAAGGAATATTTCTGTCTTGAAATTCTTAAATGATTAGCACCAAAGCATTGAAAGGTCAGGAGAATGATGTTAGAGTCATTATTGTCTTTATATTTCTGGATTTGCTGCACTGCTCAATTTAGGTAGGATTCTGGAAATAAAACTTTAAGGAATTTATTTTACAGAACAGAGCCATTGGATTTTCAGTACTACTGGAAACTGATTTAGGAGTTCCTCATGAGAAATGTAAATGATTGGAGAAAGTATAGGAAAGGCTGGTTAATATGTTCTATTTTCTTTCTCTCTCTCTCCTTCCTTCCTTCCTTCTTTCCTTCCTTCCTCTCTCCCTCTCTCCTTCCCTCTTTCCTCCCTACCTCCCTCTTTCCTTCCTTCCTTCCTTCCTCTCTCCCTCTCTCCTTCCTTCTTCCCTCCCTGCCTCCCTCTTTCCTTCCTTCCTTCCTTCTTTTCTTTCTTTCTTTCTTCCTTTCTTTCCTTCTTATTGTAAAAATGCTATACAGAGGGGTTACAGTTACACAAGTGAAGAACTGAGTACATATCTTGTAAAACATTGTTACCCACTCCTTTGTTTTTCTCCCACTACCCCTTACCTCCCCCACTCCTCCCTCCCCAAGTTGTAAAGTTCATTTCCTACATAGTGTCTTGTGAGGATCATTGTTGCAATGGGTCATCCTTTGTCCTTTCAACATTTTGTTATTCCTCTTCTCTCCCTCATATAATATAAATATATATTGAAGACACAGGGTACCAGAATCAAAGATAGTAATTACTAGGGATAAACCAATGGAAAAGAAAAATGAAACAAAAAAAGAAGAAAGAACTAGATATAGTATATTGGTGACAAAAAGGTCAATAACCAAAAATAAAGACCTGTTGTTTCCATGTCTTGAAGTTCATTTCAATTAGCATCATTTTATATGGTCATAAGTACCTAGCTATTGAACTATGAAGATTCTCTGCTTGGACTTTCCTAATCATATTCAAATGAGGGAAACCAAAGAGCCTATGTTTCTTTGGGTCTGGTTTACTTCACTTAATATGATTTTTTCCCCAAGTCTTTCCATTTCTTTACGAAAGGAGCAATGCCATTCTTTCTGATAGAAGCATAAAATTCCATTGTGTGTGTGTGTATGTGTATATATATATGTATATACATACATACATATATATATATATATACACACACCATATCTTCTTGATCCATTCATCTATTGACATCTAGGTTGGCTCTATGTCTTAGCTATGGTAAATAATGAATTAATGCTACAATGAACATAATTGTGCTGGTAGCTTTAGTGTGGCCTTGCTTGTGGTCATCTGGATAAATGCCCAGGAGTAGGATTGATGGATCATTGAGGAGTTCTATATTTAGTCTTTTGCAGACCTCCACACTGCTTTCCAGAGTGGTTGAACCAGCTTATATTCCCACCAAAAGTGTAGTAGTATTCCTTTTTGGCCACATTCCCGGCAGCATCTGTTATTATTTGTTTTCTTGATAATGGCCATTCTAACTTGGGGGATGTGTAATCTCAATGTTGTTTTGATTTGCATTTCTTTTATGTCCAGCAATGTTGAACATTTCTTCTTTTGTCTATTGGCCATTCTTATTTCCTCTCCAGATAAATCTCTGGGGATTTGTTACTGGGGAGTTCAAGTTTTTGAGCGCTAGGTATATTTTTGATATGACACCCTTGTCTGTTGTATAGCTAGTGAAGATCTCCCAATCTGGGGGATTTCTATTGATCTTGCTAGCTATGTCCTTTGCCATGCAGAAGCTCTATAGTTTAATGTGATCCCATTTATCCAGTGTTTCTTCAGTTTACTGTGTTTCTGGATCTTTATTTAGGAAGTTTTGACCTATATGGAGTAGCCCTAGCATATTCCTTGTCTCTTCCTATAATATTTTCAGGGTCTCTGCTTTTACCTAGAAGTCTTTGATCTATTTGGAGTTGATTCTGGCACAAGGCAATATATAAGGATCTAACTTCAATTTTCTACATGTGCATAGCCAATTCTGCCAGCACCATTTGTTGAAGAAGCTGTCTTTCTTCCATCTAATAATTCTGGCTCCCTTATTGAAGATTAAGTAGCAATAGGCCTGTGGGATCATGTCTGAGTCTTCAATTCTATTCCCTTGGTCCTCAGCCTGTTCTATCTTCTATCTTCTGTTCTTTCAAGAGACACTGCTGTTTTTGCTCATCCTGAGGATGAACTCAGATATCTTCACTTACCAGCTCAGATGGTCTCCTTCTCATCTTGTTCCTCGTAAGCATTACATCTGATATTATTAGCAGTACTGTTTCTTTCTTTCCCTTCCTTCCTTCCTTCTTTCTTTCCTTCCTTCCTTCCTTCCTTCCTTCCTTCCTTCCTTCCTTCCTTCCTTCCTTCCTTCCTTCCTTCTTTTCTGCCTTCCTGCCTTCCTGCCTGCCTGCCCCAGGTGCTCTGAGGACAGGGTGTTCTGTGCACTCACCTGCTCCAGGGAGAATGTCCTCTTCACTTGTTGAGAGACACACTTCTCACTTTTTTGTAGACCATTTGGAAAATGTTCTTTCAATGAGCAATAATCATGCTTCAGCTAAAATTCATGCCACTGTGCAAACTTTTAAATGTTCTTTCAGTCACTCAATTTATGAACACATATTGGAAATTTACAATGTGTTCATTCATGTAATTTATGAACACATATCAGAAATCTACAATGTGCCATCCAATGTTTTGTGCAAAGAATTTAAAGAATTTAAAGTTCCTTCCTCCATTATCTTCATCTGAGGTGAAGGTAAAGTAGGGGTTAAAATGGGAGACATAAGAGACATACCCATGTGGTAAAAAAACAACCAGCTTACACTGAGATAAATATTGATGGGGCACATGTAGAGTAGAGCAGGCAGAATAGGGAAAGTTTGTGTTATGACTGGGCACTGGAATGATCCTGAATCAGGGGCCTGATTTGAATGGGTTATCAGTGAATGTAGGGGTTAACACCTTGCATTTTAAGCCACTCTGTTTGATGCTGAAAACCAAGCTATGTCCTTTATCTTCTTTTTTTTGTACTTCTTCTTTTTGTACTTCTTTATTTTATACTTCTTTTTTTTTGGCTACTTCCTCTATGGCTCAGTGTGCTGATCTGTAAAATGGAGATAACGCTGAGCAGGAGGGAGCTGTTATGATAAATTTGTTGATTTTATTTGTAAATAATATAACAAATGTATTTAATTATATGATATAATTTATTATATAAATATAGACTACATATCATTTAAGAAGTTTATATATCAAGTATTAGTTCATTATACTATGTGTAACTGTGAATTGATTTAAAAATATATGACTACTTCTGAGCACCAATGGCTCATGCCTGTAATTCTAGCTACTCATGTAACTGAGTGCTAAGGATCAAGCTTTAAAGTCAACCTGGGTAGAAAAGTTTTTGCTCAGACTTTTATCTCCAAATAACCAGCAACATAGTGGGCTATGGTTGTGGCTCAATTGGTAGAGTGCCAATAATGAGCAAGAAAGTCAGGTAAGAGCTCTAGGTCCTGAGTTTAAACACCATACTACCACAAGAAATGTAACAAACAAGAAATGTAAATATTATGCACACCATATGCATTCACACTTACGGTGTTCAGAATAGTGCTTCATACCTGTTATATAAATGCATTTTGCTTTTTTATACATTTTTTATTGTAAAAATACTGTACAGAGGGGTTACAGTTATATGAACAAGGTAATGAGTACATTTCCTATCAAGCATTTTTATTATTAAACCTCGAGAAAAGTGTAGAATTTCAGCAGACAGAGGAATAGGTATGAACATTTTAGGCAG